CAAAAAAGGAAATGTATCACTTAAAAAACACGACCGGAAATGGAAAATGTATCACTTAAAAAAACACGGAGGGAGTAGAAAGATTTTTGTAAAACGGATGAAGTAATATATAGTGTATATAAAGGTGTCCTACAGTCTATACGGTTATACCTATGATGTCTATATACTCCCTCCGTTTTTAATTACTTGCTCCATTTCTCTTGGGCAAGTATGCGGATGCTAATCTTTGATCAATTATATGTTTAATTATCAATAAGTATAAATTCTAACAATTAAAAATTAATAATCTATTCATTGAGACAATTCCAACAAGCACCCACAAAACTATATTTTTTTTTATTTAATCACAAACATTAGTCAAAGTAGGACAAATAAATAGTGTAAAAAATAGAAATGGAGCAAGTATTTAAAAACGGAGGGAGTATATAATAACTATCCATGTAATATAAAGGAGAAATACTTCCAAAAAAATGTAGTTTATCACTTTATATTAGTAGGACATGTTTGGTAGATAAACTCTAACCTACAAAAAGTCACCAACGTAAGCCAAAAAAAAAAAAGTAAGAAGCAGCAAACTCAGTAGGAATAAATGGAATTGTGCAATATCTTTGTATTGTACAACTACCCTTTAATAGAAAACCATCAATTCTCTTTTTATATAGTATAGATTAAAGAACATAATAGCCAAGAGTAAGGCAAACGCCACAAGAGTTCCTAGATAATACTGAACAATACTATAATATCACTTGGGAAACCTTTACTCTATGAAGAGTAAGGCAAAGACCAAAAAGTTCCCAAGTAATACTTTAACATAACATCACTAGCCAAATCTCTACTCTAAGATTAATGACCAAAAGAATTCCTAAATAATACAATAAATATCAATTTAATCTCACACCAATCGACCTCAATACGAAGAAGATAACTATTTGTCTCTACAATCTTGAAACCTTCACCAATTTCAATTTTTGTAGCACATGAAAAGTTTTCATCAGATTTGCCAAATAATATATCTACGTTGACAATAAGAGAGGCATATGATGGAAACAACAATCATGGATCTTGAAAGTGGTATTCTCGAATCATCACTTACTTGAATTAGATCATCCTGATTCTTCTCGAATAACACAATCCGGTAGTAGTCTTTGTTAAAGCGCGATGTATAGTCATAGCAACTATATTGAGCAATAAGGCTACCCCAAATCTTAGGACAAACATCACCACATCCTGTTTTAGGATTTAGAAACACCTTAATGTTTGCACCAACAGCTTCTGAGAAGATTGAATAGTGTATTGCTGCAAATCCTCCCTGTTGACCCGGAATAAGAGAACACAATTGCTTTTCATACCACAAAGAAGTGAAGTACAGAAGCTGCCCAATCCACTAAGCCTCGAATAGCTAAACGGTCTTCAGTATCCTTTATGCTAAACTTCATTTGTAATGAACTACAATCATCAAAATCTCTGGAACCATCTGATACAGGTAATGATTTCTCATTTTCAGATAATATCAAGGCATCTTTTTTATCTCTGTTAAAGATATAACAAATCTTGTCATCATCATTTGATAAAACCTCAATTGAACCAAAACTTCTTCCACCAAAAAAGACAGAGAAAATCTCCAAGGCAGGAGATGCCCATGGCTTACTCTGATGAGCACGAAGATTCCTGACCAAAATTTTCAAGCAAAATCCAAGGAAAAAAATTAATTCTGTATTCAAACAACATAGTAAATAATATATACATTCACATGAACATGATATTTATATCCAAATGGCTCGAAGTCCTTAATTTGCTCAATAATCACAATCAAATAGTCCAATATTTTGGCATTTAAACATAATCATAAGACCCATTTGATACTTCACTAGTTCATGAACAAGACTAGCTCATCTACCTTCCAATATCAATTAACAGCCAAAAGTTATGTATAATAGTCCATGGATATTGATTATAACTAGAGAACCTCACAAATAAATTTAACCTCGGAATCTTTTTTATACTTGATATAAAGCCAGAAAAAAAATACTACTTGATATCAATACATTACCCAACATTTAGCATTGTTGTTCATACACATTAAATAACATAAATCAAATCTCACAGTCATCCCCGTTAAAGAATAAAGTAAAGTAAAGCATTCCAACAGTATATGTAGTCAGATTATGTAAAATATAGCATTCCAAATTCAAACTTAGCAAGTGTAAGTAAATATTATTACCATAAGATATCTAAAAGACCAATTAATTCCCTACAACTCTATTGAAAATCTAATAATAAACTTGTCAATAGAATTCTACCAACCTTAACTAACATCCGATATTAATCTAATTCGAATTCAAGCTCAGTTGCCGAATCGACTAAGCACTTAGTGCATTAGAAAAATGAAAACAATACACCATTACAGAATAATCCATGTTACAGCCTAAGCCTTTAGAATCACATTTATTCTAAAAAAATTAATACTAGATAGAGGGAAAGGTGTCTAGTAAAATCTAACCTACACCGATAAATTTAAGGCAAAACACAGCCCCAAAACAAAGTTACAATTACAAGTAGGCATTCATTGGGTAAAATTGTTGCACCATTTGACAATTGTAAACATACCGACATACACTATGGATTTTATTGAGTTTCATATTTGCCAAGCAAATAACGATATTATCGACATATAAGCAAGATAGATCATATAAGAATTTTTAAGCATAGATAAACAGGCAACATACCATGAGAGTTCAAAGCTAGATGGGAATCCAATCTTAGAGTCAATCCGCTGTCCAACCACATCATGCGAGAACCATGCGACATGAACATGAATAGCTAAATCATCCAGCAAGATGGAACTTGATGTCATTCTCCCATCTTCAGCCGACAACTCCACTGATTGATCAACAATATATCGCATTGTTTTAAATTTATACAAATTAAGGACCACAACAAGAGAAGAACAAGAGAAGAATAAGCTGGTAATGACACCCAACATCTAGAAAGTTGAAACCGTTTGGCAGTGTTGATCTCAACAGGGAAGTCATGCTTCTCAAACAGAACACAATCTTTAGAAGAATAATTCCTATATGTATTGGCATAACGAGCAACAATCCTTCCATTTACATTCAAACCATCATGTTGTTTACCTTGACTACTACAAACTTTAATGTTAGATTGTTTTTGATTGCTTGAGTCTGTCTTTGTGTATACTTTCGTTGTGTATTTGTTTTTGTTAAGAATAAAAAATGGTATGTTTCTCATTTCCTCAATATAACAATGAGCCTTTTATGAATATTTCAATAGACTTGAGGGATTTCTTGATCATAATTGTTGTAGTCTTTGGGAGACTTGTGAGATTTGTTATTTTGGTTTGAATGAGCAAACTAGGATATTGTTGAAAGCATGTATAATGGTGAATTTAGAGCATTATCAATTGACAGTGCTTGGGATTTTTATGTATGGTTTTCTAGGGATGTTTATAATAGGGGTAATCATGTTTCTAATATTGATGTGCAATGTGTCGATTCTTCTAATGTTAGCATGAATTCCCATGATTTGTCACATGATCCCATTAGTGAACCTAGAACAAATGATTACAACTCTATTTCCCCTATTTTTCATGATGACGAGGTGCATTCTAATGTTGATGAGCATGGTGTGTTTCAATATTCTTCATTATTTAGCATGCCTTCTTGTAATGTACCTTCTTTTCCCAATAATGAATCTTATATGCTTGATTGTGCCCCATCTCCCCATGGTGATGATTATACTCATCCTTCTGATGTTGATGCTTATAATCTTGGTTGTGATCCTTCTCCCCTTGTTAGCCCTCTATTTTCTTCATCTTGTGAGTCTCCTATTGATTATTTAGAATCCCTAATTAGGCGTGTTGAGATTAATTCTAATTTTAGGCCAAGTAAGGAGTTGTTTTTAAATTCTATGAGAAGTCAATTAGATATGATGAAAAGGAGTGAGGAGCGTATTGAAGAGGTAATAAGGAGAAAGGAAGAGCTAGAATGTCAATTGTCATCTTTGTTGCATGATCTTGAATTTTTCAAATCCTGTGTGTGTGTTGAGGATGATGATGATGATGTTTTTGTGCAATCAAAAGAGTGTGAGGAAGACATTAGTGAGCTTTTGAGTGTAGGAAAAGGAGTTGAGAATGAATTAAGTGATGATTTTGTGAATCCAAACCCCCTTTCTTATTTTGATGAAGTGCATGTTTGTGATTCCTTTCTTATTTTGATGAAGTGCATGTTTGTGATTCTTTTATTCATGAGTATTTGGACTCATTTGAGGTTATGTCCCATATATTTTGTAAGGTTCAAATGAAAAACCATATCCTTTTGAGTGAGTTCATTGAGAATGCTTCATGGGAAAGAGATGAGTTTGAAATGAATTTGCATTCATTCATGCATGGTTTTGAGAGTTTGGGCTTTGGGATCTCTAAGAGGAATGTTTTTCATTGTTGTGATGGATAGGATGATGTAGTTTCTCTTGGAGATTGGATTTTTGAGGGATATGAAGTTCATGAGTGTCCATCTTTTGAAGATTCAATTATTGATTTCCATGCTCTTATTGATGATGTGAGGAATGGTGGTGAGGAAGAGTTCGTTTGTGAGACCATTGCTCCTATCCCCTCTTCTCATGTCCCTTTTTCAAGGAAATTTAACCATATCCCCTACTATCCTATGTCCATCCCTTCTTTCGCCAAGGAGCCTATTGGGGATCCTCCTTATATTTGTGATATTCAAGTTCCCCAGTCGTTGATTATTGAGGAAAAGGGTGATTTTGCCACCCAAAAACATTTTGAGGAGAGTTTGCCTTCTTCTTCTTCTTCTTCTTCTTCTTCTTCTTCTTCTTCTTCTTCTTCTTCTTATTCTTCTTCTTATTTTGTTGAATTTTCTTTTGATTCTTCTTCTTTTTCTTGGCATCTCTCTCCTCATTTGCGTACATGATATGTCTATTTTATGTAGTGATTTACCCCCGTCCCTTGGTCATAATTAGTAGTGCTTTTGGCTCTTTAGAGCCACTTTTATTACTAATTTGTGTTTTCTAGTATATTCGTAGTTTTGGTGAGTTTTATAGGGAATTTCACACTTAGAGCATTTTTCGGGGATTATTTGGAGCAACTACGAGTATTGGAAGAGCACGATCGTCTTTCGTAGACTAAGGTCGGTTAGAGTCATCAAACCGGTGATTAAGGGCTCGACATATGAAATACCGAGGCATTGGACACCGAGTATTCAAGCCCCAAAGAGGAAATCCAGAGTGGGATAAGAAGTGAAGCCCAAATCGAAGTCCAAACCATGCCCAAGAGCCTCGCCCGATCAGGTTGCCCTCTCCCTAAGGCGCGCCCGATCGGTCGGGGCGGAAGAAGAAGAGAAATACTCTTCGCCTGAGCTCGCGCCCGACCAGGCACGAGAAAAGCATCGAAGGCAAAAAGGCGCGCCCGACAGGGCGGTGCCTCGCCCGACCGGGCGCGAGAGATGCACACTTAATGAAAAAGGCGGGCCCGATCGAGCGGTGCCTCGACCGACCGGGCGCGTGTTTTGGAGGATGATTTCCGTCATTTTTTTTTACTTAGTTTCTAATTAGTATCTTGTTAGCTTAGTATAAGTATGCTTTTGTTAAGCGAGTTTATGATTCTTTCCTTCTCCCTCTCTATCTTTCTCTCTCTCTTCTCTTTCTCTCTCTAACTTTTTCTCTCTCCCCTCTTAATAAAACTCTTAGTATTACTATCTCTCTTGTTTCTCTCTCTACAACTCTTGGTTTAATTCCATCCCTTTATTTCCTTTAACTTTGGTAACAATTTCTTCTCTTTTAATTTCAGTAATTTAATCTCTTTCTTTGATCATGTCTTGTTTAATTGCTTTGATTAGTTTAGATTTAATTATGTGTGAGTAGTTTTCTTTCTAGGGTTTGTGGGGATCCATAAATAATATGAAGGGGTAATTTATTATTGTTAATTGTCAATGCTTGATTAATTTTCTATTGACTGATTTAATGCTGTGCAATTAGATTTGGCCAGATTTAATTTGTAAGAGTTAAGCAATATTGATTCGAGATTCGAGAGATGAGAATTAATGTTTAGGCTTAGTTTCAATAGGCAGACTAATTTATAAATGGTTAAGTCGAGATTCGAGAGATGAGATTTAATACCGGTAGATTAACTTTGTGATTGTAATACGTAGCGAAAGCCCTTTAAGATCTGATTAATTGATGCATTGATGATTGATTATTGTGTTTTACCCTGGAATATTACTTATTGGTGAACCTATGACCCTAGGCTTCTTATTATTGATTTCTCCCTACTTTTATTCTTCCCTACTTTTACTCTCCTTAGTTTATTTTCTTTTACAATAACAATTTGGTTACTTAATAATTTAAATTAGATTATATTAATTAATTAGAAATAGAAAGACTTGTTTCCCTGTGGATTCGACCCTACTTCCCTATCTACTTTAGTTAGAGGACTTAGGTATTACTTTTGATTAGTGAACTATCCTTGTTGTACATCCTCTTCCTCATATTTTCCTACTTGTTATCTTACGAAATGTGTAGTAGTGCATTTGACAAGCTCTTGCGTTCGTTGCAATATTATTTACTAGAGCGGTCAAGCTTGGACCTTAAGCAAGCCTTTTTCGGGAAGTAACATGTGTTTTATTGCTTTCTTTCTCTTTTCTTTTTTAGAATAGGTTGTGACTCATGGAAATGTTTATGTGCTTTGGGCTAGGTACATTACTTGATATACTCTTATGAATTGGTTTGGATCAAGAATCAAGGAAATTTGACTCCACTTTTGCTAGCACATGGAAAACAAGATTCAATTTAGAGGTAGTCGGCTTCAAGGAGGTTTAATTTGGTAATTGCGAGTGTTTACACCTATCTAATATCCGGTAATATCCTTCCTTGCTCTTTCTCTAATGATTTGTGACTTGTTGGACATATGTTGGTTAGTTGGATAATCGTCTTTCTTTTCTCCTCCCATGGATTTTTTGGTTTAAAGTTTGAGTATGTTGCCTCATTCAAGCTTGGGGGAGGGTATTCTATCATGTTTGGTAGAATTTTGATTCATATAAATTCCATGCACATTTTTATATGCATTTCCATTCTCTATATTTTAAAAATTCCAAAAAGATATTTGTTTCTATCAAGGCAAATTTGCAAGGTGTTATCTTTTGTTCTTGCTTTGGACATAATACTTTTGGACTTGTATTCTTGAATGTCTTTCTTCCTAAATTTTAGTGGTGTGCACGGTTCGTGCACGGTTTGAGAATGTGTTAGGTTGACTCTAGGAAATGGTATGCTAAGGTAGTTGGTTAAGAACTTTGGGACCATGAAGCTCTAGTTCACTTGCTTGTGGTAAGATGGAGTTGCTCTCTATAGTGGATATGAAATCAAGAGTTAGTTATTGCTATGCCTAGTGAGGTATAATTGTTCAAGCCTTTATCATACGTTGTTGAGCGGCATATTTGGATCCTTGGCTATTGCATTCTCATATCTAGAACTTGACTTTTAGCTCCCAAGATCGCGACTGAGCCACTTTAGGGGATGACAAAGGCATTTCTCTTTTTTTTATAGGATTAATTTTCTATTTTTGGATTTGGTTTGCATTTGCCCCTATTGCTAGCCCCTTTGAGCCATATACATTCTTTTCTCTAGCCGCAATACAAGCCTTCAAGCCTTGGTTTCACTTTAATTTCTACCTTTAGTTTTGTGAAGCAATTTTGTTTTTGAGCTTGTTTTATTGTTTATGGTGAAAGTTTAGAATTATGAGTTCATTCACAAAGAAAGTATGCGTTGTATATAAGTTTGTGCATAAAAGAAAATGCATTTTGAGAAAAAGTCGTCCAAAATTAAAAGAGGCATGGACATTACATGAAAAAAATAAAGGCAAAAGCTTGAAAAAAAAATCGAAAAAAAAGTAAAAGAAGAACGAAAAGCACAAAAAGATTTTGTTATAGTTGTTTTTCCCTATATTTGTTATTTTGTGTTAAATAAGCTTAGGGGAAA